AGAGAGAGAGAGAGGGGCCCCAAATAATCCATAACATTTTTTAATATAGCTTTCTTTTTTTTTCAAGGGGTTGGCACTAGGGAAACTCCTGGACCTGCCTAGGTGCCTTGGGCATGTTTGCTTAGACACCCTATGCCCCCACCCCCCCCCTTCCTCCCCACCTTGCCTAGGCAAATTGACGGCGACGATGCCTAGACAGTTGGGCGGTCTTTTTCAGCACTATCCATAACCTAAACTTCCAAACTGTAACTAGTGCAAGAACCAACTGTTTTGATTGGGAGAAGGCTGGCGATCATAGTGATTAGCAAATCTTGGGCCAATTTGTAATCACATTGGCTTTGGGCAATCATTTCCCCCTATTTCTTTGTCCTCATAAATGGGAGTCCTCTCTGATTCTTCCCTTTCCTTGAGGGATCTCCACAAGGTTACCCCATTTCTCATTTCCTCTATGCAATCATTGTTGAAGTTTTTAGTATATCCATTTGAAACTTTTATTGTTAGAGCTTGCTCCAAGGCTTCTCCACCTCTTGATGGGGCCTCTCTATCTCCTACCTTCAATGTGAAGATGACTAAAGGTGTCAACATAAACACACATGAAAGGTCTGTACGGGGTACGGTTTGAGATCCACAGGTTTCTTGTGATACGCCTGTGATGAGCCTTAGTGGTGCAGCTATTGAGCATGTGGAATGTTATGTGATTACCTTTTGTCTGTGTGGCGTATTCGCCTTTGTGGTGATGAGGCCTGTGTGTCATATGTAAGCTCATTATGAGGGTTTAGGTTATGTTTTCAGACATTAAATGGTGTTGGCCCAAAAATAGGATCTTTTTTATTTTCAGAAATAAATAGAGCTAAGATAATATGCAAGTTGGGGTTTGAACTCAACTAGAAATATTAACAAACATATGGCATGCAACTCTTATCAAAACACCCACAAATGGTTGCTGTGAATTTCTTTAGAACTCAAGAGGGTGTACCAAAGTCACTAATTTTGTTATCCATAAAAGAATCAAAGTCCAAAATCAGTTGTAACTATTGTAAAACTCTTCTAAGCAAACCCCAATATAATTTCCAGCAATCATGTACCCATCTAAGTCATTTCAATAAAATAAAATGATGCCCAATAAATTTTCCCTTGCTCATACAATCTTTCTCAGCCTTCAAGTACTATTTTTAGATGCAAAATATGAAGCAACAGTTGGAACAAACTCACCAAATTCGTATGGATTTGCAAGCACATTTTATAGCTTTTCTGGAGTAAGAATCTTGTTGAGAATGAGTTTTCCAGCAATATATTACACAAAGGAAGACAAGATTGCTGCAAAACAGTGGTTAGTAAATAATCGAGGGAGAGAGAAACTTCTGCGAGATGCAACATGGTGTTGGGATTTATCCCCATGACACTGGAGGGCTCTCACAGAAATGAGAGGCACGTCCCTTGCACCCAGCTCACAAGGAAGCCTAAGAGAGAGAAAGAGGTTTTAGAGAGAGAGAACTCGTGTTAGGTACCCTGACCTTCCAGAACCCTTCCCATATATCGTTACACAAGAGAATGGCCAAGTGTTGCCTCTCAATGGCCACTTGTCCCTCTCTTCACTTGCCTCTTTCCTTTTCCTCCACAATAGGCAATAGTCCCTTTTAAAAATACATTTCAAGTGGGGTAAAAAAAGAAAATAAATAAAATAAAATTGGGCCCATTTTTTGCAAATATTTAGGAAACAATTTTTTTCTAACAAATGGTTCATATATGTGGTAAAATCCCTCGAAGGGGTAAGTTTCACAAACCACCGCTAGCTAGCAGTCTTTTGACTCCTTTATCCACATTGCGAGACTAGACTGGACAGTTATATTTGGCATGACTTATTGAGCATGACCTCCAGCTAGTAGTCTTCGGACTCCGTGTTCCGCACTGTGATGGCTAGCTTGGATATCCGAACAGTTGAACATGTCCTATGACTAACAGTCTTTTGACTATGTGATCAACATTGTGATGACTAAACTGGACAGCTGTATTTGGCATGACTCATTGAGCATGACCTCTAGTTGGTATGTCTTATAAACACCATTTCCACTTTGCGATGGCTAGTTTGG